GTATCTATATTATGTTTTAAAAGAAAAGATATATTTACACACAAGTTTTATGCATCATATTTATACAAAATCTTAATTATTTATATTTTCACTTTTAATAGTTGAAATTTGATACAATTTTTTAAATAAAATGAATAAGTAGATAAATCTCAATCATTGGAAACTGAAAGATCAATGAAATGGTTGAGATTTTATATAAATGTAATGTATAAAATTAATATGTAAATATAATATATAATAAAACTTCTACATATATATAAATTTTATGTTATATTTTACTAATTGAATCAAATAAATATGAAAGATCAATAAAATGGTTGAGATTTTATATAAATGCAATGTATAAAATTTATATGTAAATATAATATATAATAAAACTTCTACATATATATAAATTTTATGTTATATTTTACTAATTGAATCAGATAGATATGAAAAGATGTATCAAATTTAAGAGAATATATGAATTATTTTTTATAATTATACGATATGTGCAAGTGAATCCACAATTATATTGAATTATTGCACATTTGCATAACGTTGTTCAAAAAAATTTTACATTTGTATAACAAACAGAGAGGAAATCAAAAGGCAAAAACAGAGTAGGTTAATTAACCTATAACAAAAAAAGAATGAATGTCACCTATCCCAGACTCCAATATGAATTAACTTTCGCACTATTCTAATTTTTAAGTGCATCAAAATGAATTACTAATTTCCTTTTTTTTCAGGATCGTGACATCAGAATGTATGACTCCATAATGACCCATCAATTTCAGTTTCATCAGGCTCCATAGAATCAGAACGAGGTGGAGTGAGCAAAAGCCCTTCAGCCATGTTAGCAAGCAAACCTGGCATGTCGAAAATCGCCTCTTCATCAATGAATTCTGGCGAAACCATATTTTCATCTAAACTTTCGTTGTTTTCTGCATTATGGTCGTAGCTGGAAACTTCACCGTCACAAACCTTACCACTTTCCTGCGTGGAATCACTGGCGCCGTGTACTGCTTCGAACTCTTCAGGCCTAAACATTTCCGCCGCCTCTGCTGCAGCTCTCCTGATATCCACAGCTGACTTAGAAGGTGGAACCGGCAACCTCCATGCAGAGTCGGCAAAATTAAGACAGGCACCCTTTCCCCTGAATGCCAATGCAGCCACGTCGTGAGCCCGAGCAGCCATCTCCGGACTAGGATAGGTTCCGAGCCAAATGCGAGTCTTTTTCTTAGGCTCCCTCAATTCGCAAACCCATTTGCCTTTATTCCTCTTCCGGACGCCCCTGAAAACTGGATGCCGAGTTTCCTTGAACACCTTCCGCCCTGCACGTTTCTTCGGCCTGCTCGTTGCCAGCAGAACTTCCTCGTCAGAGTGAGAACCTCTCCGCCCGCCAGCACCTGAATCGGTAGAACTCGACATCTCCGGCTTGTGGTTCCCAGTCGAGTCCGACCCGAAAGGAAATGGGTCCGATAATTCACTATTCATCTCCATTGAATTGGTTGTTGTTTCGATTTCAGAGCTCTGTTTTCAGGTGGAGTTTCGTAAGCTATTTTGCTTTTTGGGTCCAATTTAAGTTTTGACCAAGTCGAAGACTGGTTTGGCTGTTCCCAACCGCCGAATGCAGTTAGTGAGAGGTGGGATACTTATAAGAGTTGTGTGGGTGGGTCCACATACCTACGAAACCGACACGGACGTTACTGGTGAAATCCAGATAGACGCATGGCGGAACCGAACTCGAACCCAAACGAAAAGTCGAGGAACAATAAAAATAGCACGTGTGGAAAGTAAGTGTGGAAAATGAGGGATTATTGTTATCATAAAAAAAAA